TACGCCTCTTCGTTTCTTCGGCCGTCCGCCATTTCTGAAACCCTGCGCTTGCTCGATAGCGAATGGCCAATGGCTCGGGATCAGCCATCGACCATTCGACAGTGCAATCGAGCAAGTTCGAACGTTTCGCCTAATCGCGCCTAATACCGATCGCGACCGCGGTATCTATGTGGAACTTGAAAAGTCGAGATCAAGATTGATCAGCAAACGGCATGCTCCGTTTTGCTATCAACTTTGAACCGATTTTTCAAGTTCCCCGGTAACTGACCATCGTGCAGAAACGACGGCCAGCACCGGCCCTGCCTACTTAAATCTAACATTCATTCCAGAAAGTATGCTACCTGCCTACCTATAGCTATATTTAAAAAAGAAGCAAAAAACTCATTCTCACAAACACACATCATTCCACGATTGTCTCTGATGCACCCGGGTGCGAAAGAACCTAACGACTAGAGAAAACGTCCCGGGACGTTAGCTAACAACCACATTCATACTCTAGTTTATCGATTCCTGAAATCGACTGGCAATGGCTAACGATCTTTGAGAAAATATTTTACTTGGCACGAATAATTCATTGACATTAATATAATTCTACTGTTCTTTATGTCATTTGGAAACGTATGGACGATCAAAGTATTCTAATATGTTAATATTTGTATTTTACTGAGTAAGGGAATAAAGAAAAGTGTATATATATTCCAAAAATTTATTTATTACATTTATAGTAACTGGAATATATACGTATAAAGAGAATTTATGATAAAACCCGACGTATTTCCACTTCCTAACCACACACACAAGTGGATAATACGTCGGGCATGATACGTTAGCATTGCCAATCGCTCACATGTTTAAACAATAACAATTTCATCATGCCCATTGCTCTCACTCTCCCAAGTAGCACCTGGGCACGTGAGAGAGATCGAGCAATGGACATGGAAACAATATCCTGAAAATCCTAGCTATAAAATCATGTTAGTTTCTCATTTTTCTAACGGGCTAATGTTCTTTGGTTCTCAACAATTACTTTAATTGACTCAGAATTAAAAATTATAGTCTCTAACTTTAGAAATAAAGAGTGTACTAGTGTACTACTACTGTAATATTCAATAAAACAATAAGAGAAATTCAAATTTAATAGAAAATGAGACTCTAAGTGAAATAGCAATATGTATGATTCTATTGTAAACTTTTAACATATTTCCAAAAATCCTCAGGTGATCCCTTTATCGAAGCAACAGTTTCTAATATCAAAAAATGTTTTACAAGTAGTTGCTTCGATTCAGAGACCTACCCGTCGCGAAATGTTTTCTTGTACGATATTTACTGTGATATTTCAGCGATTAAGTTAACTTTAACGCGAATAATCAATCATTTCAATCGACTGTATGTTAGTCGAACTGCAGGAATCAAAAATTAGACTGAACTTATTGATACAATTAATGTACCACTAAGTTCTCAGTCATATTATCTTAATATTCCATATTAAAGATTATGTTATCCGATAAGAAGTCAAAGCATTATTGCTAATATTTGCATTTAACGTTAAACGCGGCGTACAAGAAAACCCTATCCTATCTAAGAAATAAACCATAAAATGTTACTACTCTCGGGTATGCCTCTCGAGGCATATCCGAGGTCACTGCACTCACAAAATCAAAAACTACTAAAATGGTACCACCAGTCACC